AAGTATATAAAATAAACTCTGCTATTTTAAAGCAAATCATAAAGATTAGTACAAATCCAGTGTTAAACAAATTTTATGTTGCACCCTCTCACCTCCAACTACCATTACTAAAATATTTTAAATGACACTCTACATCTTTCAACACATCATTTTAAAGAAAATACAATTTCTGATCCATTGAAGTTAAAAATCCGATCACGGATTTGCAAGTTGGAGCCAAAAAGGTGTGGTATAAATAAAACAAAGAAATCCATACAAAAATTTTTAAATGTTTAAAATGTGCTCCGTTATTTGCTAAACAATAATACTTTTGACAAACTCTTTAAAACGATTCAGGAGTTATCTGCCTGCATTCTTGAATTATTCTTCGCTTGAGTTCTTAAAGGTTCTCAGGCGGTGTTTTGTAGACTTTGTAGATGTTTTTAAATGATCACCAAGAAAAATCCGTTAAATCTGGAGATCTTGCCAACCATTACTGATCACCTCTTTTACCAATCCTTTTTTCGGGAAACCTTTGGTTCAACCATTGTCGTTGAAAGTACAAATGTCCTTCATCAAGCAACATGTGTCCTTGTTCGTACATTTGATTGTCTAATAAGTAGGTCTATAACATTTTCAAGAAGATCAAGATATAATTATCCAGTCAAGTTTTATTCCAATTATTTCGTTGCCAGGAATACCAGCCCATCATTTTTTGAGGATACCAAGTATGATCCTTTCGAAAACATGTATGTATTTATTTACAAATCCATTTGAAAAATAAGTAGATTCAAATATTTTTTAATAAATTCGGAGCAACCGCAATTCTTTGCGTCATTTTCTCACAAAACCAATGGGTTCTTCTGTCGTAGTCATCTTCTCTGAGTTGCTCGCACGTTTGAATTTTATAAGGAAAAAACTTATTTATTTTTAGCACCTTATCAACATAAATATTTGTTAAAGCAGCTACTTCTGAAATATATGTGGATCTTACAGCAAAATGACCGAGAACTTCAATTTGTGCAGCTTCATCCAGTACACTCGATATTGTGTGTTTTCTGCTGCACACTGAACCAGTTTTCCTAAATTTTAATTGATGACCTACATTTTTGCCATAAAAACGCGAACGGGAATCAAATACTAAAGTACGTAGATACCATTTTTCTAATATTAATAGTATGATATATCAATATAAAATGTTATTAAAAACATGTAACAACTTTGTTAAATGTAAATTGAAACGAAGCAAATAACCAGGTTTTTTGTATATTTTTTTATGGAATTCTTTGTTTTATTTACATCACACCTTATTTGGCTCTAACTCACGAATTTGCATTTCCTTTAAAATGATGTATCACAACGTATATTTATAATATTTTAGTAAGAAAAGCTGGAGGTAAGAGGGTACAATATAAAATTTTGTTTAACACTGGATTTGTACTTCCCTTTCAATATCTAAATCGATCTGTTTTTGCTCAAAATCATATTAACTCAAAAGTTTTTAAGGGTGGCTAGATTGTACAGACAGGCAATATACAATGAACAACACCCTGTGGTGTTCCAAAGTTTTAAATTTTAATAGTGTTAATAGTATATTATGTATCAAGTTTGATAAAGCCATTTTTTAAATTAATGAGTGTATACAAAAGTTTATAAACGAGGTGCATACCTACTATACTTTTTCTACGACAAATTTGTATAGAGCGCCATCTATGAAACAATAGGGGAATCTGAGTGTCACCGTCAAATGTCAAATTTTTTAATTTTATAAACACAGATTATAAAGGTTATAAATCAAAATGTATTTCACAGTAAAAGTAAAGAAAATATTTCATGAGCACTTTACAGTGTAGTCCGTGCCCGAATTTAAGTTATAGTTTACTCCCGGCGAAATTAAAAGGTCAGTACAATGTTCATATAAACTTTTCAAATATTGGCGTTGAGAAACTATTTATTACTTTTGTATTTTTGTATTGAGATAATAAAATAAATTTCACATTTAGTATTATTTTACAAGAAAGGCAATTTATTTTAATGATTGTATGACATTTGACAACTGTCAAGTAACTTAAAACTAACTTCAGCCCGTGACTAAAAACCTGTTGCTAACTTCAGCCCGTGACTAAAGCGCCATAAAGCCACAACTTGTCAATGTGTATTTAAGGTCACTTAGTGTCATGGAAACATGTACGAGGTGGGAGTAGAAAAATATTTTTTTTAACTAGAAGATATATCTTCCGTATGCGGAAACGAAATATGAAAAACACTATTATTTTTTAGGTGAATCAATTGTTTATTACATACCCAATATATTTTTGTATATTTAGAGTTATTTATGACTTTAAATAAAACCTATCACTTTAACGACAGCACGCGAGAAGTTGATCTAAAAAATAAAACTTAATTACTTAAATTTAATAATAACAGATCGACAAATTTGTCTATATTATTAAAATATGTAGGTACACAAATATTACTATTAAGATTTAAAAAACAACAAATAAATATTTACGGAAATGACTACGGAAATAATTTAATAAATTTAATTTAATAATTTGAGAAATAAATCAATTTCATGTAAAATACTTATAAATCCTAATCGAGCGTTAAAACTCCACTTCATTAAAATAATTAGTTGGTTATATTTTTAGTTCTTATTAAGTTAACCAAGTCACTGGACCATTTTTTTCATTTTAATTAAATGCCATTAAATAATTAAACTTATTAATTCTTGATTGAAAATGAAATATTTGCTTTATACCCATACTCATTTATTAGTTAATGAAAAAAAATAATAAGCAGGAAATGCACGTTTGAAAATGTAATTTTAAAATTATTATTATTAATAGGTACTGAAAAGAGTCCTTATTTTACTCATAATTAAAACAAATCTGAATCTTATTTTAAATAAACTTTTTTAAACCAAATATGTTCCATTTATGATCCATAACCTTCTACCATTTTTCTTGTACTGAAGCCATTAATCTTTATCAATGTCTGGGCGAAAAAATGAACCATGTGATATTTGGGGGCCTCTCTTATACATTTACAAAAAAACAGAACAAATGGTTATCTGATGGTTTAAGATTTGGGCTATACGGTGCATGCATTAAAACTTACAGGTCTCTAAATTATTTAAACAAACATCTTGATTGTGATCTGTACATTTTGTTAGATAGGATCTTGCTACTGTGTGTCCCAAGGTTGACATTTTAAACAGAATACTTAAGTATTCTCTGCGTGGCTGTCACAAACTGCAGTGGTCAAAGATCGCATCAAAAACTGTTCCGCATCAAAAATTATTTGAGATACGTAGGGTTTCATTCCCGAAATTACGGATCAAAGAGGTCGGCGTTGCAGATAGGGTTGCCACCAGGGATAAAAACAGTTAATGAAGAACTTTAAAAACAAGTTTTAACATCGACGGAAGCAAAGAACATGGCAAAGGTCAAACAAAAATGAAAAGAATTAGTAGAAATAATGTAATTAAGCATTTTACCATTATTTTGCCTTAAGCTTCAGAAACACCTTTGCTTCCTAGGGACTTATAGGAAGAAGAAGAAGAATTAATACATATTTTAAGCTGTTCAATGATAAATTCTTAAAAATAAACTGTTTCTTTTGTAAAATACTTCACACATTCCAAACCTATACGTGTATAGGTAGAGGTATGTTTTAGACATAAAAAACAGCTGTGGAATTCGTACAAAAATTTGTAAGCATTAAACCATACACAAAGATGTGAAAACGGTAATTCCTCTTGTTTTATTTTAAAAGCTATCGAGCCTCGAGAACTGAGCAATAAAAATATTATTTATGGAGATTTCAACGGATGTCGCTGCGAGGTTTTAATTTTGTTACTTCACATAAAACTATTGTTTGAGTTTTACGTGTCTTATTATGACTTAACAGTATAAAAGAAGATGCTTCATTACAAAGTTGTTTAAGGAGAATTTATTGGTTAATTAGTTGGATAACGGTAGATAGGCATTATGTTTTGTATTGTGATGCATCCATGGGAATTTGTCAAAATTATAGTGTTTTAAACATATTTTTTCTACTCCCATCTTTAATCCCATTTTCGTACATGTACCTGCATGACACTAAGTGACCTTTTAAATACACATTGACAAGTTGTGGGTTTATGGCGTTTTAGTCACGGTCTTAAGTTAGCAACAGGTTTTAAATTAGTTGACAGTTGTGAAATGTCATACAATCGTTAAAATAAAGTGGCTTTCTTATAAAATAATACTAAATGTGAAAATTATTTTATTATCTTAATACAAAGTAAATGGGAAATAGAAAATAACAAAACGCCACCTCTAAATATTAATATTAAGAGCTCATATTTTCACAGGGTCGTTTTCTAGAGATACTTTGACGATTTTTCAATGTTCTTTGAACAAAAAAAAGTCCGTTTGGAATAAAAATGTTCCCTTGTTATTTAAATGGGAAAAAGAAAATTACAGGGTCGTTTTCTAGAGATACTCGATTTTTGTTCTTTGAAAAACAAATAGTCGGTTTTTTTCAACACATTTAAGATGCTTCTTCTTCGTCTTTATTAAGAAATATTGTTGGTTTTAAGAGTGGGTTAACTAAATTTTACATTATAAATACCTTACGGATAATGTAGGTACAAAATTTGTATAATTAAAAAAATACTTTGTGACACAAATATGTCCTATGTCGCGTGTAAAAGAATATCTCAATAAACATTGTTTTGAGAAACCAGTAATTCATGAAAAGCTTGAAATGGAAATTTTCACTTATAAATTATAATATTCCTCACAACTGATATTTTTATTAAAATTTATTTAAAAATACTATAAATGGAATATAAATATTCCAAAATTAAGTGATATACCTATGTATATACCGATGTATATAATTATATATATTTTTTTAATATATATTTTTCTTTGATTCTATTTTTAGTGGCAAATATTGGTTATAAAACATTAATTAAAATTCTCATTATAATTTTTTAGTAGTAAAAGTAGATTTTATTTTTTATTGCTTACTTATTAAATAATGTCTCCAATAGCTGAGCAGAATGAGGCAAACCCTCTACAAGTAAATCCAAGGGTATGTCACTGGCCACGGACGCGATCGTTTGGCTTCCGAGGCGCTGGAGGACGGCAGCCGCCTCACGAAACTGCCGCCCCTCGGCCAGCACCAGCACCCTGCGCAACACAATGCGGGGGCTCGAGGGAGAAGCCCGCTCCCTGCGTATCCGTTCACCGCACTCTCTCATCCTTAAAACGTAAGTGTCCAACAATGTACAACAAAATTGGTTTATATCGCATATAAAACTCGCGTGTGATGATCGCCTGCAAGAAGTCGGCGAACAAGTGGGCCCCGCCGGTGGTCTGTGGTCTGGAGACGGAAAGTCTTCGACGAGTACGAACCAAGAGCCGGGGGTCTGCCGCTGTGACGATGCTCGCCGACGGCGGAAGCGGAGGAGATGACCTACTGACATACTTTCTTCGCGCTTCTTCCTGCGGGATTCTTGTAGGATTCATGGGGTAGGTATACACTGAAAAAAATTTAGTCCATAATATCAATTAATACAGTTTATTGACTAATTTTTTATTGGGACAACGATTTTTTCATTAAAGTAAAGAAATGTTATGTACGGTATTTTATTAACTAATCACGTGGTTCATATGATATCATCATGATGAACTAGTAGTTATTGTAATAGTAATTAATTTTACATTAGTCAATGTATAATATTTATTTTGACAACAAATTTTTTATCAGTCCAGTAAACAATTTCATTAAATACATGAATTTGTTGATTAATTTATATGAACAACTTTTACTAAATTGTTTCGTTATGATAATGTAATAAAGTATTAAATGATAATTTGTCTATTGTGTTAATGTTTTGCTATTAATTTCCGCCACGAACAAATAAAATGCTTGATTAAAAGTATACATTACATTGACGAATGCATTCATTGAAATAATGTTCTTGGTTATAATTATAAAAATCACGGTATTAATGTATAGTATGCATAGATTAATGAAACGCATACTTTATATTAACAAACGCATTCATTGAATAAATGTACTCTCCTAACGATAAAGCAATCATTGAATTAATGTTCACAGTTAAATTTAATGTTAATTATATTAACGTACAACCAAACAAATGAAATATAATAAAAATTATTAACATTGTCTCAACGTAGGGATTATACGAAGGCGTAGAAGGGCCAACAAAAATTTTACAAATTTTAGCCAAAACTAACTTTGATTTTTGCAATCTCCATTCTATAATTGTAACTTGAACCTACAATTGTAACTTGAACTTACAATTGTAACTTGAACCTACAATTGTAACTTGAACTTACAATTGTAACTTGAACTTACAATTGTAACTTGAACCTACAATTGTAACTTGAACCTACAATTGTAACTTGAACCTATAATTGTAAGTTCAAGTTACAATTGTAAGTTCAAGTTACAATTGTAAGTTCAAGTTACAATTGTAAGTTCAAGTTACAATTGTAGGTTCAATAGACTGGGCCAAAAAAATTAACTATTTTTTTTAAGTATATCAAAAATATGGTTTGGGGTGACAAAAAAAAATTATTGTGAAAGTTTGAGTCCATATTATTAATATTAAGATTTTTTTTTCCTGAGCGAGTCTTTGTCTCAGAACTCCCAAATCATTGAGTTAAACAAAATTGACTTAAGAATATTTTTTGAAGAAAATTGAATGTTCTCCAAAAATGTTAAATTGGAATTTCCCGTCAGATGAACCGTTTTCTTACAATCATGCCTTAAAAATTGGTTTAGTTTTACAATTTGATCTTTTAACTTTGGAATATTCAATATTGTATTTAATATTTTTACATTAATTACAATATTCCATATTGTAATTAATGTAAAAATCAGTACCCTGAAAAAAAACGATAAATATTCTTATGGAAAATCAAATGCTCTACAAAAAAAGTCTATTATCATTTTTGGCTAAATTCACTCAATCAAAAGTTATTCAAGGGTAAATTTGAAGTCAAAACGAAATTTTAACCTTGAATAACTTTTGATTAAGTGAATTTAGCCAAAAATGTCAAGAGGCTTTTTTTGTAAAGCATTTGATTTCCCATAAGAATATTTATCGGTTTTTTTATGGGTACTCATTTTTACATGAATTACAAAATTCCAATTTAAAAGATCAAAATGTAAAAGTATACCAATTTTTAAGGCATGATTTTCAGGAAACGGTCCATCTGACGGAAAATTTCACTTTAACCTTTTTTGTAGAGCATTTAATTTTCTTAAAATAATATTTTTGAGCCAATTTTGTTAAACTCAATGGTTTGGGAGTTGTGAGACAAAAACTTGCTGAGGAAAAAAAATTAAAATTGCGATGATAGACAGACCTCTTAATATACCATATTTTCGATATACTTTTCAAAAAAAAAATAGTTGATTTTTTTGTTCAAGTTACAATTGTAGGTTCAAGTTACAATTGTAGGTTCAAGTTACAATTGTAGGTTCAAGTTACAATTGTAGGTTCAAGTTACAATTGTAGGTTCAAGTTACAATTGTAAGTTCAAGTTACAATTGTAGGTTCAAGTTACAATTGTAAGTTCAAGTTACAATTGTAGGTTCAAGTAACAATTATGGAATAGAAATTGCAAAAATCAAAGTTAGTTTTGGCTAAAATTTGTAAAATTTTTGTTGGCCCTTCTACGCCTTCGTAGGATTAAATTGTTTTAATAAATGTTTACGTTGGAACAATAATAAGGACATAACAATTCTTGAGCTCTGCTTAGTTTCCTTCATTTGAAAAATAGTGCGGGCATCAACTGCATGAAAGAGGATATTTCTTAGTACAGTGTATTTCTTAGTGACTGGCTTTATTTAAAAAAAGGTAATTATAATTTAGTTTTTAAATATAATTTTGATAAACTGATTTATTAGTATTAGGCTTTACAGGTTTAAAAAACACTTATAGCGTCTTGTCCTAAAGCGTAGGAAAACTAATTTAAATTTCGGATAGTTAGAGTCGAAACACGATGTTTTGCTTTATTTGCAAATAAAATTAATTTCCTAAAATTACTTATATTGCATTTTAAACGAAATCAAGATCTTACCAAAAATTCAGTATTTAGATGTTTTGAAGATACCTAATTGGGGTCAAAGTTTTTAAAACATAAGTAGTTTTAAAAAACATATCAATAGAAAACATTTAAACAATAATTTTCTGAAAAATTTTTATATCCAACTCAACAACGATCCAAACGACGTTCTAAATAGAGAGCTTGAAATTAATGTTTTAAATTCAAAAACAACAGGTAATCAAACACAAATTAATAATAATTATGAATTCATCGGCATGTGCTTCCAGAGCATCACTCCACCGTGCCAAGAACCGCGTTTCGCACCATATTGTATTTCTAATAAAAAATCAGACTATTGTTACATAATTATTTAATATATTAAATGAAACTCCTAAAGGTTCTATGCTTGTGGAATATTACAATACATTTTTAAAATTTCAAGATGAACAGCTAACCTCAAACTTGGTAGCGCAATTTATTATTATTAAGTTAAAGGTGTTCCAATTACCTTAGCAATCAGTTATAGACCGAAAAGAGAAATTCTAGACATATTTCCGACTGAAAAATTGGTATGTTTAGTGATCTTTACTCATTACGCCTTAAAAAGATTGTCACAAAATATTATCTTTATATTTTAGGAGTACTATCGTTCCACCAAGCGAAGAAGAATATACAGAAAATTTTGCAATTTTTATAAACTAAGTCTGTGGTTGGTAAACATGTTGTTGATGTAACAGCAAAAAAAAAGTCTTCCAGACATGTCGAAATGCAAAACATTTGGTAAGCTAATTCAAATTACGTTTTATATTTCGTTTATTTATTAATTTTGTGGATATGTGAATAAAATTTGAAGTTAATTATTGTCTTTTAGAACCCGAGCCTTATGGTTTGATAATTTAACTTCTGAACAATTCAATAACACTTGGAAGGCCTGCAGTAAATATCGTTAAAAAAATTTAAAAAATTTTGGGAATACTGATGCGATAATGGAGAAATGGCCTTTCTATAAAAATCCCATATCAATTGGTAGGTATGCGTTATAATTTAATTTTTTAACAATATTATTTTATACTTATAGATCGATATGGATTTTAATGTTGTCTTCGATAATGCAGATGTGCTATTAATTATTTGGAGCAAGAACTTCGACAAGTACCTTGAATTTTTAAGTAATGAAAATAATGATAAAGACAAGAATATTAAAGCTTTTTTTGGAAAACCCAAAGACCAATAATAGTATTTCTAAAAGTGTGTCACATTACCTATTTAAATTTAATTATAATATATAACCATTTATTTATTGCATAGGTATTGATATATTTTCTACTAAAGAAATTTATATTTTTTAACAACATTAGTTTTAATTTTTTAAATATTTTTTTGTTTTTAATCTTTGTTTTTTTTTAAGTTTTCCAGCTAGAAGAGCACTTAGACTCAGCGAAGTGATAAAGCGAAAAAAAGTTTTTTTAATTTGCAACAGCTACTCAGAAATGATGTGTGGCAACTTTAATAATGATTATGTGATATATCACATTTAGTTTTTTTCAATAGGTTTAAGTTTTATTTGTATTATTTAAAAGAAAATAAAAATAAAACAATAATATATATATATATTTTTTTATTTTTCCTTTGTTGTCAAAAGTCATTTAAAAAATTATTAGTATTTGCAAGTCTATGAAATTCATCATTAACATTGGCAAATTCACAGCAAAGCGCACATGCGGGAAATGAAAAAATTTGTTGGTGTGGTGATCGAACCCACGTTAAGGTTTTTTCTGTCTTTTCCAACTTGTCTCTAAAAATGAGTTAGTCAAAAATGACTAATTTAAAAGTTATTAGTGACTGCTTTTTCACTTTTACCATGGTTAACCATGAAATACCATGGTATCCCAAAATTTAATGGCCAATTCTTATGTAAAATTGTCCCCTGAATCTGAAAATGTCGTCAAAAGTTAAAAAAGTAGGACAGTTTTTGAGATATAGTCAATTTTCCATTTAATATGGAATTGACTATATATTAAAAACTGCTCCACTTTCATAATTTTTGACGGTATTTTCGGATTCAGGGGACAATTTTACATATGAATTGGCTGTTAAATTTTGGGATACCATGGTATTCCATGGTTAACCATGTACAAGTGAAAAAGCAGCCACTAATAACTATTAAATTAGTCATTTTTGACTAATTCATTTTTAGAGAGTAGAATTATTGTTTCGATAAATTAAGTTCATTACATTAATAAACTGATTAATTATATCAATTACTAAAATTCATTGTATTGAAAATGTCATTTGTTGCATCAGCTACAATAGTTCGTTAAGAGTATGAATATATACATCAGTGGCGGCTCGTCAGGGTAGGCCTCTGAGGCCGCGCCTCACCCTTAAAATAAAGGAACGA